TGTTAAATCTGTTTCTCTAAGTTAGGCAATGTGAATTGTAATTTCCCTTTTTTTGTTTCTAGGACAACTGTGTAATTTTTTAAAATTTGGTGTTGGGCCAGTCCTAGGACTCACCCCCAGGAATCTTCGTTGTCAATCCAAAAGATAGTCCAACTGTATCTTTTGATTGGAAGCAAGACTTTCAACTAGGAGATATTCTTCTGACAGAGGGCGAGACACCAATATTTTCTTGGGTATCTGTGGTCTGAGTGTCTCATTAATCAGGAAGGTGATTGTGGCTTTCAGTTTATGCAAAGGGTCTTTTCTCTCAATCAGTTTTGTTGTTGTTGTTGAACACCTTCGAGCTACCTCCAGGAACTGGGACCTATTTATACCTTGAAATCTGTCTAATTTGTATAACCTTTTTTTTCCTAATAACTGGTGTTGCTGGGTGACAAGGCAATCTTTTTAGCAGGAAAGTCTAATCTTTCTGAAAATCACCTCCTTGGTCGGTGTTGAGCAGAAAGAAAATTTGTTCCGTTCTGGCTGCATTATCTGGCAGCAATCCTTCTGCCCACGAGGGTGCAGTTTCTCTTCACTTTTCAGATAACAGAGGGTTTTAAGTTTTCCAATTCTTAATAGGTCAACGATTGAAAAGATAGAAACCATGAAAGAAGAAGGAGAGAATGTTTTTTCTTTCTCCATTCAATCCAACAGGCCATCCAACAGGCTGCTTACAGAAACTCTTTTGTGCCTCCATACAGAAAACGAGGCTGATCAGGATAAAGGCAGGAGTAATGAAACAAGCAAGCGTTCCAGGAGCCTGGAGGGATGAGAACAGGTTTGCTTTTGTTTGTTCGTTTGTTTTCTGAAAGACCCTGTGGAGCTTAAAGTGTTTGGGTCCCTGAGCTGGGAGCCGGATGTCTCCTACCAGAGGAAGCCAACTAGTCCATATAGAGAAACTGTTAAAGGTGGGTGAGATTGCATATTTTAAAAGGAATGGACCGTCACTGGGCCACTTGACTCCAAAAGACGGCCAATTGATTTCAAAGAAGGTCCAGAGCTTTTCCATACAAGAAACAGACACCATACCCATCCTCATCTGCAAAACTCTTCTTTGGGCCAAGTAGCTCACAGCTGCCATTGCAGTCATCCCCATAGCAACAGCAGCAGCCACTGCTGCAGCCCCAGTCACTGTGCTAAAGGAACTCAGCGTATGGCCCTGCATGTGAGACCCAGGGAATTTCTGGGCAGCCAGTGGTGACTACAGGAAGGATCACTCCCTCCTTCATTTTAGATGTCTCTCTGATCAATGGAACTGATAGAAACACATAGGGAAATTCACACACAAGACACACAAAGACAACCAGTGGCCACCTAATATTCATTCATACGTCTGAACAGACTAGGGGATATTCAAAGCTTGAAACCCAGACACTGGCTCAAGACAATGAATGGGTCATTGACCGCATCTGGCCTTTCCTTTGTCTCCTAAACAGAAGGTACTTCAACCAGACTTATCTTTGGAGGCGACAGACCAAGCAATGTTTTAGTTTGTTTCCTTTGGGGGTAGAGGCCTCAGACTCTTCCCAAGTGTTAGGCAGTGATTGATCAAGGGGAGTCCTGGAGACCTGAAAAAGTCTTCGGGTTGCATACTATATCAATACCACACTCTTCTCTGCTCTGAGAGCCTCCGAGGCCTCCAGTGTCTTAAGGTTTGGTCTCTAGGAATCTTAGTGGAACCTCCTGAAGTGTTGTGGACATACCCACCAGAGACTACTTGGAGTGAGTTTAAGCCAATAGAAAGTCTTTATTAGCTGGCTAGCAACTACACTGGTGATCTGGATCCTAGTGCATGCCCAAGCCCTTTTCAGTGTGAGCTTTTAAGCACCAAAACTATATCCTGGGTCCCAAAGGGTGAGAAAACTCCTCTGGATACTGGTGGTGTTGGGTTTTATCTTCCTGCCACTGCTGACAAAATAAGGCATTTAAACTTACAGAAATTTTAGAAAACCATTTTGTTGCTTTTTAACACCTTTAACCCAGGTTGTTAAAATACTAAGCAATTTTAAAAGGCTCTAGACTTGCCAAAATACTTCTCATTGGCCAGCCATACAGCAGAACCCGAGAGAAAAAATTTAATCAATTCCAGATAGCCATAGCCAATTACTAAATATCACCATTTCAGTAACTATATAAGCAGAATGTACTAGGGGGGAGGGCTGAATCAATGCGTACTCATTGGGGAATGCAAGGTGATTGTTTTCAATTTGATGGATAGTAACTACAACAGAAACCTAGACACCATAACTTGTGCAAAAGATTCAGAGATGGAATGTGGTCATGAGAATGAAAAACACGAGTCCCTCACACCCAACACCTGATGAACACACATGGAGAAGAGCTGGGCTGGCTTTGGGTTATTCTGAATTGTATGGAACATCAACTTTCTGACCGTGCCTATCATTGAATGGCTCTATCTTAGAAAGCAGGCACCCTGACCCGAGTTTCTGTTCTAAGTGCCATGAAAAGAAAAAAACAAAACAGACTCTACAGCTAACACAACCATCTGGCTATGGATAATTTATTTGTACTAGTAATGACATCTGAAAATCTACCAAATCATGTTGGACACATGAGCTTACTAGTTGTGGAAGATGGGACCACCCCACCTCAGTCCTTAAAAGGACCGTCCCAAGACCAAAACGTGGCAGACATACTGAGTAGTCACCTTGTCACCTCATGAGCTTCATTTTCAGGAAAATGACAATGAAACTGCCTGCCTCTATCACCAGACTATACCTTGAGTGCAGTTTCTCCTGTCCCTGACACAGATCACTACAGACTGACCTTCAGATGACCTGGCATCTGGACTTGCATTTGGTGCCTCTCCTCCTGAAAAACACCTGCAGTATGAACATTTTTTTCTGGTCTCTCCAGACTCTTCCAAAAGCCTCTATAAGACTTTGGCACAGCCTCTTTGAATCCGGAAACCTCTTTAACCATTTTTGAGCCATTTTGTAACCTGCACATTTGCACATTACGGTGTGGTGTGTACAACAGAAGACTTCGTATTGGTAATTAAGAATAAAAAGGCAAAGTGTGGTGGCATGTGCCTTTAATCTCAGCACTCGGGAGGCAGACACATGTAGATCTCTATGAGTTCAAGGCCAACCTGGTCTACAAAAAGAGTTCAGGGACACCGAGGGATAGACAGATAAATCCTGTCTCAAAAAAACAAACAAACAAACAAACAAACAAACAAAAACCAAAATAAAAACCAGACCATTTAAAAATATTGAACTAAGACCTATTATTGCCAACAACCCATTAGCAAGCAAAATTGGGATTACTTGACAAAGTATGCAGCAAGACAAAAGGTTCCAAATTTATTGCTTATCCAGTAACTGACATTGTACAAACACTTGGGTCCATATTTTCTCCACATGACCACACAGTATCCCGTAACATACATGTGATGTGCTCATCTGTCTTCTACATAACACAAGCATGAGACCATCAGTATCTTGCAGGGTGACAGATATCTTCCAGTTGTCGTTGGGGTTTGTTTTGTTTGGCTGAGTTTTTTGTTTTGGTGGTGGTGTGATAGATATGTATGTGTGTATATGTAGGTGTATATACTGGGGAGAGAATCATTGTGTAAGTGCCGTGACTCAAGACAACCCTGTTTAATACAGACGGAAACAATAGTATGCTCAATGTCACCTATTACTGAATTTTCTACTAGACAAGGCTTTTTTACCATGATGAACTTGACTCAGAGCAATCCTTCCTAAAAGGATCTTACACATGAAGCTATCATTCAAGATAGGCACTAACAAAATGAGGACATTTTCAAGATGGCACCGTTAACAATATACTTTAGAATACTGTAAAGTACCAAATTTACATGATCATAGAAACCCAAGTGGACAAACATCAGCGTACATTTATGCTCTTGAAAGATCTTTCTCTTTTGACACTAAAGGGAGCTCAAGGGCCAACAAAAACAAGGTTCCAATCAAGTCTTAGCTTCCTGATTGCACGGAGTAGTATTAATTTTGTACTGAGTATTGTACCAGTTACACCAGACATGTTGAATTACGGTATTATGATGCTATTCATTCATAAGTTGACTTTAATTTTGATTCATATTGGACCCAGGATGAAAGTATCCATATCTATAAATATTTGGAAGGAATAGTCTCTTTAGATATATCAGACTTTTTAGTAGAGCTTTGGCAGCTATCATCTTACCTAATGTTATAGCTGACACCTAAGTGTTTCTGGACATGCTGGCAACAAGACACACAATCTACAATGTGTTCTTACCTCAAATACTTCATCTGAACCTAACTTCTCTTAGATAGATGATACAGGCTAAAGGCCAGGAATGTAGCTGGGTCACTAAGTTCATGCCTACCACACACAAGACTCTGGGTTTAATCAACCGTGAAATTTTAATAAAGGCAAGAGCAAGGCCAAACCTATATCTATATTAGATTCTTCTTAGGATACACGCATTTGTAAAAATGACACTTTAGAGACCAATGACAGATTTCTCAAAAGTTGTAATTCTGAATCATTTCCTTAAGAGTAGGGATGGATCTGTGGTATAAATGACAAGCCATCTTGGCTGATAAAATGTCACGTCTACAACCTTTTGTTTTGTTTTGTTGTTTTTTTTCGAGACAGGGTTTCTCTGTGTAGTCCTGGCTGTCCTGGAACTTACTCTGTAGACCAGGCTGGCCTTGAACTCAGAAATCTGCCTGCCTCTGCCTCCCAAGTGCTGGGATTAAAGGCGTGCGCCACCACAGCCCAGCATTTTTTTTTTTTTTTTTTGAGAAAGGATTTCTACACAGCCAAAGTTGGACTTAAAGTAACAGCTTAAAAAGTCCAACTTGATCCTTTTGCCTCAGCTTTCCTAGAACTGAGTTTTAGGAATGCACTACCACACTCAACTCTACAAAACACATTCTAAACACTACAGCCCCCAAACATATATATACAGAAAAAGAGGGTTAACATGGTAAACTAACAGTTTTTAATTCAAGTGATGATGATACAGAAGTTTTTTTTGGTTGTTGTTTGTTTTTTTTTCTTTTTAAAGAAGTAACAAGTAACACAAACACTGGGTGTAACAACTAGCATCCTAATTTGTAAACCATTCTAAGTTAAATTCTCTGGTAGTGGATCCCAATGATCTGCCACCTGGAATGGGGTCCTCCACTAGCTATATTTTTGCCTCATCATCTCCCATCCACCCAACTCTCTTCTCCTGCTTCCCCTCCAGAAATGTTTCTGATTGTTCTAACATTTACATATGTATGAAAAATTTCTCACATGTATTTTTATACCTGGCTTCAAATTGGGCCATTTTCTGTTAATGTTTTATGGAGAGCCCACCAGAGAAAATGAGTCAGACACAAATTATAGCCAACTGAAAGTCTTTATTCCAGTTGGCTGGGACTACACTCAGGTATTGAGGATCCAAGCATACTCACAAGCATTTAGAGCAAAGGGCTACTAAAAACAAGGACCACATTCTGATATCTTGCTCAGCAGCTACAGCAGGAGCGTTTGCCCAAGCAGGCAGTTTAACAGAAGCCAGGATAAGCAGTTAGCTAAAGGGGGAAGTTTGCACATGCAGGCAGTTTAAGAGAAGCAAAATAAATTAGGAGGAGCATCTTGACCTCTGGTTCATAGACTACAGAGTTGGGTAAATTTACAAGAATCTCTTCCATCAAAAGTCAAATTCTAGTTAAATCTAAAATGGTCTCAGCAACATGAAATGGAGGAGACTGCAATGTCTTGTACAGTCACAAATGTATTTTATCTTACTGTCTGGAAAGAGCATAAATTACATGATTTTACCTTTTGAAAGTTGTGTCTAACCCCTTTTAAAAATGCTTATTCACCAACAGCTAGTTTTTAGACATCTCTGCACAAAAGCTAAAAAAAATGGACTGAGAATAAAAATGTTGTCATGTACTTTTTCATCCATCAGATTTTATCCAGAAGGAAGTATTTGGAATTTAATACTGGAGGGTTGTATGAGGCTTTTCTAAACTATCTACAACACAACTTGCCCTTCATATCAGTTACAGTAATGCCAGTGAAAGCAATAACACTGTAAAAGCTACTTTACAGAACATGAACCAAAAATTCTCAAGGATTCCTTATCTACTATAACCCTGTTTCCACAAGTTTGGCTGGTACTGTGCTCACCATTAACTATGTAGAAAGAAAGGAAACATCCAGTCTTTGTGCACAGGAGCCATGCGATGTAAATGGTGGCAAGGTGCCTCAAACAATACTGGTCTCAATAATTGTTCTTCCTAAGTTAGCTGAATTGTGTTTGGTGAGTTAAGTTTATGCAATTAACAGTAGTACTAAAGATGAAATAACAGGACCATGAAGGCTACAATATATCGTTCTGACATTCAAAGACATTCTCAACAGCATCTTCTGTGAATAACAAAGGTCCTACAGTTTCATTCTCTAAGGGTTTCTTGGTATCATGAGTATATGACTACTCAGCTATTGGTTAATCCTATGACAGATTAGTTCTTCCTAGATTCTTTTCAGTCTCAATCTTGTCAGGATAACTTCTTTGATGTTCAATAGAATTTCCATATAAGGGCTTGTCCACCTTCCTTTTCTGATGTTGTATAAGCTCCTTTAACAATAAAAGATTTTTCACATCCTTAGAGTTTTAGACCTATATGAACTCCTTCATAAGCTTTCAGAACTAATTCTATAAATGTTTACATATTCCTTGCACAGTGTTTGACAACAGCATGGATACTTTTACGTTGAAGGCCTGAACTCCAGCTGCAGGTCTTTCCACATTCTTTACAATGATAGGGTTTCATATCAGTACGAATTCTCCGATGTGCACTGAAGGCTGAACTTAATCTAAATTTTCTCAAGCTTCTTATATTCACAGGGTTTCAGACCAGTATGAATTTTCTGATATACAACTAGCTTAGAATTACTAAAGGCTTTCCACATTCCTTATATTGTAAGGCTTCTTAATAAGTTTAGCATGTCAAACAACCTTTGATTTTCAACTGAAGGCCTTCCCACATTCTTAAGGTTTCTCAATATTGTGAATACTTTGATGTACTTTAAGATCTCTACCATAAGTAAAGTACTTCCCACATTTGTTACATTCATAAGGGTTCTTGCCAGTATGAATTCTAAAGTGTCCAAGAAATTGGTAATGATATTGAAAGGCTTCTCCACATTCCTTACACTTAAAGGGCTTCTCACCAGTATGGATTCTTTCATGAATTCTAAGGCCTGTACTACGAACAAAGCCCTTTCCACATTCCTTGCATTGAAATGGTTTCACTTCATAATGAATTCTCTGATGTTGGGTAAGTTGGTATGGGAGTCTGAAGGCTGACTCACACTGATCACACTCATATTTCTTCTTTCCATTGTGAATAGTCTGGTGCCGTGTGAGCTGTGCCAGAACAGTGAAGGCCTTTCCACATTCCTTACACTCAAAGGGTCTCTCATCAGAATGAATCTTCTCATGTTGCATGAGGTTTGAGCGACGATTGAAGGTTCTTCCACACGCTTTACATTTGTATGGTTTCACACCACTGTGAATTATCCTGTGTTCCACAAGGCTGGAGACACGCTTGAAGGACTTCCCACATTCCTCACAATGAAAAGGTGTCTGACCTGTATGACTCGTTTTATGGTTATTAAGCTGGCTGGAAAAATGAAAAGCCTTTCCACATTCTTTACATTCAAACGGTTTCTCATCACTATGAAATCTCTGATGTCGAATGAGATGTATATTAAGTCTAAAGACCTTTCCACATTCTTTACACTCAAAGGGTTTCTTTCCAGTGTGAATACTCTGATGCTCAGTAAAATTTGATCGTCGACGAAAGAATTTCCCACAATCCTTGCACTGATAGGGTTTCACATCGGTATGAATTCTCTGATGTTCACTGAGCTGGTACTTACGTCTGAAGGCTGACTCACAGAGCTTACACTTGAAAGGTCTCTCATCAGTGTGAGTTTTCTGATGCTCAGCAAGGTATAGATGAAGCCGAAAAGCCTTGCCACATACAGTACATTCAAAGGGTTTCTCACTGGTATGAGTATCGTAGTGTCGTACAAGGTAAGCGCCACTACTAAATATCTTACCACACTGCTTGCATTCAAATGATTTGTCATCACTGTGAATGTTCTCGTGTCGAGTGAGCTGTGCCAGAACAGTGAAGGCCTTTCCACACACCTTACAATGAAAAGGTCTGTCCTCAGAATGAATTTTCTGATGCTGCAGGAGGTTTGAGCGACGATTAAAGGCTTTCCTACACACATTACACTCATATGGTTTCACGCCGGCGTGAATAGTCCTATGCTGCAGAAGGGTAGAGATGCGGTTGAAGGACTTCCCACATTCTTCACATTTAAACGGTTTTTCACCTGTATGAATATTTTTATGGTACTGAAGCAGGATAGGAAGATGAAAGGCCTTTCCACATTCATTACATGCAAAAGGTCTCACACCGCTGTGAGACCTCTGATGTCTTTGAAGCAGCTGGGGGAGTCTGAAGGTCTTCCCACACTCCTTACATTTATAGGGCTTCTCTCCAGTGTGAATACTCTGATGCTGACCTAGATTTGACTTACAACCAAAGCACTTCCCACAGTCTTTACATTGATATGGTTTTTCTTTATTGTGAGCGAGAGTCTGGCTAGCGGAAGTCGGCATCTTTTTCTTTTGACCAGCATCTCCTTGATTCTTTTGTAGCCCCTTAGATACCTTATCGCCGCCATCCAGAGTTTTACTTAATTGCTGAATGGTTTGTTTGGGTAAGTTTTTATTAGGATTCTGTGGAGATAAACATGTCTCCAAACCTGAAAGAAAAGGAGAAAACAGAATATTTTATTTTCCTGCAATGAAAATTCCTGTGCATACGAATTCCACTAAGTGAATGACCAGACTCTAAGGTATCTTCTGAGAAGCTGAGGAGGAGCAAGGAGAGCAGCAATGGAAAGCTTACGTAAGACAGCGAGACTCTTTATGTTAGAACTATTCGGGAATGGGATGTCTGCTTAGCGGGATTATAATGAACTAAATTGCAATAATCTTACGTGCTTCTTCGCATACTACAAGAAATACATAGAAGCCAGTGAAGGTTTCCAAACCAGCTCATGGAGAATAAAATATCTATAGATATATAAAATATCTAATATATATATATATATATATATATATATATATATATATATATATATGTATGTATGTATGTATGTATCTGTCGCACCCTTTAGTGAAGTTTTTTTGAACCTGTGGGGACATGACAGCCAGCCCTAACCTGATGGCATTGATTTTTTTTGCCGGTCCAGCAATGCACTGCTTTATCCCAGTAACAGAAGTGCTCGGAACTGAGTAGTAGTGTACACAGGCCTTCTGTGATGACGACAGAGACTTTCTATGGAGCCGGGAAGCCCTTACTGGCCAATGACCTTTTGCTCTGGACTAGCTGGCTAACCCTAGAGCCTCAGGTGAGTAAGAACAGGTTAGTGGGCTGTGAGGTATTATAACATACCCTGTACATCTGTAAAACCTGCATATCTCTTGAAAATAAAAAAAGAAAGAAAAAAAAAAAACAAAAGACAAAAAGAACTCGTTGATGTCTGTGTAAGAATGAAAGGAATGACTGAGGGAAGTGAAACAGTCTTGCTGCCCAGATGTGGACCAATGAATAGTTGTAATGCCCACTTTCTGATGAGTAGGACCCCCACCTTACACCTCTTCCACTGGACACACTATGGTTCTTAGGCTGCCTTCCTTCTGCTAGCAGTACAAATAAACTTATTTAATCTTACTTTGAATTCAGTCTGTCTTTAGCCTTTCACAGTGGATTCAAATGCCACAACAAACCAAATGAAGAGAAAAATACTATACAACATGAATATATAACATCTGCCATTCTTTAAGAAAACTAGCCTGGACTTGGATTTTATTTTACTTTATTTTTGGTTTTTCTAGTCAGGGTTTCTCTGTACAGCCTGGACTGACCTAGAACTTGCTCTGTAGACCAGGGTGGCCTCAAACACAAAGATCCACCTGACTCTTCCTCCCAAGGGCTGGGATTAAAAGCATACTCCACCAATTCCTGGCCTGGACTTGGGATTCTTAAAAAAGAAAGGGGTAGAAATCTGTTGTGGTAGTGGTACACAATTGTAATACCAACGGCAAGGAGCCAGAGGTAACTGGGTCATGGACTCCAAGGTAGCTTGGACTGGACAGACGCTGCCTAAGAAAAACAAAAACAAGATAAAAAGAAAATAAAAAGAAGCAGGAGAGAATCCATTAGAATTTTTAAGAAGACGAAGGATATTCAGCCAGGGAAGCAGGCGACTGCAGCTCTTTACCTACCGCTCCTCTCACCCAAATCCCTAGCTCTGCAATAGACCACTCTGGCCTGCCATTCACCCATGCCCTCGTCTCTAGTCTATCACACAGATGTACACCTTCAAACTGCCTTCTGTCTTCTCACTGTGTTATCCCTGCCCCCAACTCCAACAGACATTCCCTGGAAATAGGAAGGACACTCTGCCCAGAGAAAGAGACAGGCTGACTGCAAATCCTCACTTCTTCCTCCATCCCCCCGAACCCAACCCCCACTCTCATCCCCAGCTCTGTAGCAGACCCACTGAGGTGGCCTCTGCTCATTCTCTACTCCCATCCACGAGGTACTAAGCAGATCCTAGTAGAAGACCTGCTTTCCTCCCTACTGTGGACCCCCTCAAAACTACCCACCTATCCCACCCCCATTCCTAAGTATCAGCTCCCAGTACTTAGAAACACATTTTACTTGGAATCCCTGTGGCTATAGCTATCAGGATCCTACAAGAACTTTTCACTTGGGCAACACAGCCACCACACTTTCCTAAGAACCAACAGAAACCAAGAAACAAAACACCCACCCAACAAAAAGCAAGACCAGACATCAGCACCTAAAACTGTCCCAAACCCAAATGCATAGATGCCAATGTAAAAACACAGTAACAGTATGTGTGCAACAGAGCCCAGCAACCCTACCACAGCAGGCCCTGAGCACTGCAACCCAGCTGAAGCACAAAAAAGGACATTAAATCAGTCACTATAAATATGGTAGAGATTAATAAAGAGGAAATAAATCCCTTAAAGAAATCTATGAAAACATAAACTGCAGAAGGAAATATATAAAATACTTCAATAACTCAAAGTGCAAAAAAAAAAAACCTGAGGGAAATCTGAAAATGAAAGTTTAAATGCTCAAATAGGAACCTCAAAAGCAAGCCTCACCAACAGAATATGAGATAAAAAAAAAAAATCTCAAGCACTGAAGACCATAGGCGAAATGGATACCTCCATGAAAGAAAATATCAATGCTAAAAACATTCCAGCACACCCCCCCCCAAAAAAAAATTCCAGAAAATCTGGGACATAATTAGAAGATCAAATCTAAGAATAAGTAAGGGAAGAAGATCAAAGGCACAGAAAATGTTTAACAAAATCATAGAAGAAAACTGCCTGACAATGTAAAGAATGAAATGACAAGGTACAAGAAGTATACAGAACAACAAATATACTGGAAAATAAAAGAAAATCTGCCTCCAACCATCAGCACATAATAATCAAAACGCTAAATGTACAGGACAAAGATTATTAAAACCTGCAAAGAAAATAAACCAAGTAATGTATAAAGAAAAACATATTAACTTGGCTTCTCAATGGAGACTTTAAAAGCCAGATGAGATTGGACAGATGTTCTACAGGCTCTAGGAGACCAAAGGTACCAGCCTAAACCACTATATCCAGCAAAACTTTCACTCACCTTAGATGAAGAAACCAAGACCTACTATGATAAAACCAAACTTAAGCAATACCCATCTACAAATCTAGCCCTAAAGAAAGCACTAGAAGGAAAACTCCAACCTAAAGAGATTAGCCATGCTCAAGAAAACGCAATGAGTAGTCCCAGACCAGCAAATTAAAAGAGAAACACACCCACCACAACAAAATAACATGAATCAACAAATACTGTTCATTCATATCTCTCAATATCAATTCAATAGTGTCAATTCCCCAGTAAAAAGACACAAACTAACAGATCTTGCAAAAACAAGATCCATCTTCTGTCACATCTAAGAAACACACCTTAACACTAATGACAGGGTAATTATTTCAGGGTAAAAATATTGGAAAATATTTTCTAATTCCAAGCAAATGGATCTAATAAGCAAACTGGTGTGGCTATCTTAATATCAGACAAAACAGACTTCAAACCACAACTAATCAGAATAAAGAAAAGATGCTACATGCTCATCAAAAGAAAATGCCACCAACATCTACGCACCAAAAACACAGGAGGCCCAAGTTCATAAAAGAAATAATACCGTAGCTTAAATCACATATTGGCCCTCACACCTTGAAAATGGAAGGCTGCAGTAGCACACTCTCCAATAGACAGGTCATCTAGATGAAGCTGGAGCTGACATTATAAACCCAGTGGACCTAACCTATTTGCAGAACATTTCACAGAAATACACAAGAATATAACTTCTCAGCACATCATTGAACTTTCTCTAACTCTGACCACATACTTGGGTACAAAGCAAGTCTCAGAAGACACAAGAAAATTTACATAACATCTCACATTCTGTCTAACTACCAGAGATTAAAAGCAGAATATCAATAACTACAAGAGGAAGCATATAAGCTTACAAAACCCAAACAACTCACCATTGAATAAAATTGGGTCAAGACAGCTATTAAGAAAGAAATTAAGCTCTTCCTAACGGAATGAAAATGAAGAAACAATAAACCCAAATTCATGGAGCATAATCAAGGCAGTTGTAAGGGGCAATCACATGTACCAACATAAACAAACTGGAGAGATCGCACGCTATCAACTTCACACCACACCTGAAGGCTCTAGAACACAAACAACAAAACAACACCCAAAAGGAGTAGACGGCAAGAAATAAGTAAATTCAGGTCTCAAATTAGGAAAAATAGAAACAACAACAAACAAAGAATCAATAAAACAAAGAGTTGGTTCTTTAAGAAAATCAGTGTGAATGTCAAAACCTAAGACAAAGGAAAACAAAGATAATACAAAAGAAGAAAATCAGAGATGAAAGAAAAGACACAACAGACATGGTAGTGATAGGACTAGCCCCACAGACTTGGATGTTTGAATGCTGTTCAGAGGGGGTGGCACTATTAGGAAGTGTCTGAATAGGACTAGCCCCACAGACTTGGATGTTTGAATGCTGTTCAGAGGGGGTGGCACTATTAGGAAGTGTGGCCTTGTTGAAGGAGGAGTGTCATTGGGTATGGGCTTTGAGGTCTCAGAAGCTCAAGCCAGGCCTAGAGGCTCACCAGTTCTCTCCCTGCTGCCTTTGAATCAAGATGTAGAACTCTCAGCTTCTCCAGCCCCCATCCGCCATGCTTCCTGTCATGATGATAATGGCCTAAACTTCTGAACTGTAAAGCAGCCTCACTTAAATGTTTTCCTTTATAAGAGTTGCCATGATCATGGTGTCTCTTCCCAGCAATAAAACTCTAAAAGAGAAGCTGTTACCAGGGACTGGGGTATTGCTGTGACAGACCTGACCAAGTTTTGGTTTCCTCGGGACTGTGGACCAGAAAAGCGGTTGAATGCTTTAAGCAGAGCTTAACGAACCATCCTAGCAGAAACATGGGAGCCAGTGGTTCTGAGGGTGATTTGAAATGTGGGGGGCAGACTCATGAGGTTTCAGAGGAGACCTTTAGTATGTACCCTAGAGACTATTCTTGAGGTATTTTCATGAAGAACGTGGCTGTTTGGCCCTTGTCTGAAAAATATGCCTGAGGCTAAAATGTGTTTTGGATTAATGGCATTAGAAGAGAAAACCTCAAAAGAACCTAGTATTGACTGTCATGTGGTTACTAATGTTCACATTTATGCTGATCTACAATGAAAAGGAGCAAGCTGAACAAGGGAAAACAGAAAATGTGCAGTTCAAGGAGAAAGGGGACACTGGGAAGTGGGATGGAGCTAAATCTTGTGTTCAAGGAGATAAACAGAACAAGGAAAATTCTGATGTCAAATGGAATAAAGGAATGGTGGCCTCAGGACAAGATACTTCTCAGCTAAGCCCTGAACAAGGAATTAAAGAAATGCTCAGAGCTGTATGTGGTGGTGCACACTTTTAATTCCAGCACTTCGGAGGCAGGGGCAGGTAAATCTCTGAGTTCAAAAGCAGCCTGGTCTGCAGAGAGAGTCTAGCACAGCCAGGCTTAGACAATGAAGGAAACCACTGAGAACAAAAAGCTAATGAAGATGTAATTGAATGAGGGCCTTTCGTTCCAGCCCAAGGAAGCAGGAGAACCTGGCAGCTTCTGCTACTTGGTTCTGGCTTTAGAGTCAAGGATAGAAAGGGCTATGGAATCTCCCTCCACAACTAAGGAAAGCCACTGAGGCCAGACATGTGTCACAGAAGTCCCTGCATGGAGACTGAGGAAGCCATGTGTGACGCTGTGAAGGTGAAGCTTGGATTGCCTTTGGAAGCTCCAAAATGTTGGCGACGCCAGAGCAGTGGGATACCTGTCAAGGAAATCTGATGACAGAGAGTGTGATCAGACCAAGAGAAAGAAATGTGCTGTGTGGGACTGCATAAGGGTATCCTGGGTCATGGTTGAGCAGGTGCCTAGAACCCCGAGATTCTCCGTGGAATTCTGTGTGAGAACCGGCAGGAGTTCGGTCCCTCCCATCATCCAGGATCCTAAAAAGCAGTCACATCTCCATAGAGTCACATAGGCCAGGCTATAGGCCTCAGGCCCTAGGGATTTACATACTAATGAAGGCCAGAGGGCAGAGGAAATTAAACATGCCTCCCCCAATCCTCCCCCTTTCTCCCTCCCTATATAACTCGGGACTGCCCTGAGTTTTGGGGGAGGGTACGCCTAGATCCATCTATTATCCGCCATGACAATAAACCTTTTTGGAACCAAGGACTTTCTTGCCTGCCGCTGCCAAGGCCTCCGGGCCGCTGGAACCATAGGATCCTCTTCCCTGATGTGAGACCCGCCACGGCGGAAGCCCCTCTGGGGCTTGCGCCGCTGTGGCGGCCTTTTTAAATTTTCCCCACAGTGCTGCAGTCAACAAAGATGAAGGGCTGGAGAGCTGAAGAGTGCTTTGACATCAGATTTAGAGATGGAAAGTTTAGAGTGAGCCCAGCTGATTTTCTGTCTGTCTTTGGTCCAGTATTTCCTTACAATGATCCTTTCTGGAACGATCGTGTATATCCTGTGACCTTATATGTTGGAATTTGTGATCAGCTTTTTGATTTTGATTTTACAAGGGATTTTAAGCATTAAGAGATTGCATCAATCTCAGAAGAGACTTCAAACTTCAGACATGTAAGCAAGTCTGAGACTGTCAGGGCTATGGAGAATTTTGAAGTTAGACTGAATGCACTCTAAGGCTGGCTACAAGCCTACAGGGGCCAAGGAGTGGACTGTGGTGGTGTAAACAGCAAAGGCCCCATAGACTGACATGTTTGAATGCTTGGTCATAGGGAGTGGCACTATTAGGTTCGGCCTTGTTGGAGGAGGGATGTCAATGGGGGTGAGCTTTGAGATCTCGGAAGCTCAAGCCACGCCTAGCTGCCAGTCAGCTCTCTTCCTGAAGCCTGCAGATCAAGATGTAGAACTCTCAGCTCCATCTCCAGCATCATTTACCTAAGCGCTTGCCATGCTCCCCATAATGAAGAAAACGGACTAAACCTCAAAACTATAAGCCAGCACCAATTAAATGTTTTCCTTTATAATACCTGCCATGGTCTTGGTGTCTACTCACAGCAGTAAAACCCTATCTAAGACACACAGAAAGGAAATCCAGAGAGTCATAAGGACATACCTCGAGAGCCTATACTCTACAAAACTGGAAAATTAAAAAGAAGTTATAATTTTTGTGACACAAACCACTTACCAGAGTTAAATCATGATCAGAGGAGCAGTTTAAACAAAAGCTATAACTCCTAGTGAAATACAATCAGTAATTCAAGGTCTCCCTCAAAAAAGGTCCATGGCCAGATAGTTTTAACAGAGAATTCTACCAGACTTCCAAGGAAGGAAGAGCTCACGCCAATACTCTTCAAACTACTCCTCAACAAAGAAACAGTAGGACATTACGCAATTCTGTTCTTAAGGCAACAGGCATCCAAATACTCACACAATATAAAGACCCAACAAAGAGAACTGTAGACCCATTTCCCTGATGAACTTAAATACAAAAGTTTTCAATAAAATACTTGCAAACTAAATATAAGAACCCATGAAAAACATGATCCACCATGATCAAGTAGGCTTTATCCCAGAGATGCAAGGATGGTACAATATGCGTGTATCTATAAATGTATTCAACATACATAAATTGATCAATGCAATCTACCATTTAAACAAGCTGAAACATATAAACAAGCTGAAAGCATATAAACAAGCTGAAAGACAAAAGCTACAGGATCAACTCACTAAGTGTGGAAAAGACCTTTTAATAACATTCAATACCACTTCCTGATAAAAGTTCTGGAGTGATTAGGGATACCAGGGACATACACCAACATAATAAAGGTAGTGTACAGCAAGGCCATAGCCAGCATCAATTTATATGGAGAGAAACTGAAAGCAATTCCATTAAAATCTGGAACAGGAAACGGTTGTCTACTCTATACTTATTCACACATATAATCAATAATCAAATACTTTTTAAAAATTATAGAAAGAGCGCACCTGCTCCAGTAGGAGGGAAGAAAATAAGAACTGAAAGTGATTCATGACACAGCAGCCCCTCTGACAGCTTCTGCTCTGACCTTGACTTCCTTCCCAGGGCTCAGGCTTCTTTCCCACAGGCCCTGGCGCTTTGAAAGAAGTTTGTCACATCCAGTGTCAGCTCTGAGGAGCCTCTCTGAGCACATGCAGCGCCTGGCAGGGCTGCAGGCTCACCTCACACTTACCTGGGTTTGGTCTGTTTGTTTTTTCCTTCCCAGCCATCCAGGGCTCTTTATTTTGCTCTAGTAAGGTGATCAGATCTGGCTTGGAAATGGATCTTCCCACTTAAAAGAAAGAAAGAAATGAATCATAGTGTAGACTGTTAGTTAGTTATTCTGAGACTCAGTATCTCAAATTAGGCCAGGATATCACGGAATGTGATACACAGACCAGACTGTCCTTGAACTTACTTGATTGATCTGGCCGCCTCTGCCTCCCCACGTGCTGGGGTTAAAGGTCTACACAGCTGGGCATGGTGTCTCATGCCTGTGAGCCCAGTAGAACAGAGAATGAGCCAGCCCAGTCTGGGCTCCACAACAAAATCCCTGTCTCATAAAACAGATAAAAAATTCTAAGAGCTAAAATAACCCCGAGGAAAGACTTCAAAGAAGGAGAAAAAAAAAACCAGGGTAAGAAATCAGATGTTTCAGGAAAAGGTTTTAATCTTTAAATGCTGATAGGGGCTTGCCACTTAAGAGGAAAGTATAATTGAGTAGTGAGAACATGAACCCACAGGCTACACTGTCTAGTGTAAGCCTCAGCTCTGCAGCTCACTAAGAATGACATTTATTTAGGCAAGTCCTGTAAGACTCTATGACCAATTTTCACATCTATGAACTGGGCAGGGTGGCACACACTACCTATCACTACACCTGAGGAGAGGACACAGGCAGATGAGAATCACAATGATGGCTTTAGTTTCATAGCAAGTCCAAAGCCACCCTGCATTACATAAGACCTGGTCATACTAAAACCAAATAATAATAATAACGAAAACAATATCGCTAGGCTGTGGTGTCACATGCCTTTAATCTCAGCACTTCCAGAGGAAGAGGCAGACAGATCTCTCCGTGCTACAAATAAAAACCTCTGTAGACAAAAGCAATAATAATATAGACTGACTTATTATCTATTGGATAGGGTAGATGCTAAGATTACATACTATATTCAAATACTTTGTACAGTCTGACCTATAATAACGCAAAAATGATAATCTTTTAAATTTCCATTTATCTGTTTAGTAATCCTGGAGACGGAGTTAGGGCCTTGAACACGCTGGGGAAGTGTTCTACACCTGAGCTGTATCCTGAGCCATGAAAACTGTTCTCGTGGTTATAATTCTTACTCTATCACATCTGCACTTCTTTCTTACAGATTAACTTAACGAAAAAGACAAAGTCGCAGCCCGAAACGTCCACTAAAAGCAGGTGAGAAGGATTCATTTAGAAAAATAGAATGTGTCTAGCTCTGGTTTTCAAATTAATTCTATTGATTCATCATCAAGTACATCATGTCTTTTACAAGTTGTGTATGTATGGACGTACAATGTATGTATGTGTCCATGAGGGTCTGTGCACGTGTGTGCAGGCATGCAGGCATGTGTGTATAGGGCAGAGACCAGTGTTTAGTGTGTTCATTGACTGCTCTCCACTTTACTATTCTCCATGAACCTAGAGCTCACTGAGAGGACCAACTAGGGAAGGGCAAGCAGGTGCTTCATGAAGCTCTTATTTTCAATCCAACCAACCCCACATCCGTCCTTTGGTATGAAGGAGGAACTCAGCACCCTCTTAAATCTACTGACTAAAATGTATTTTGTGTGTATGTGAGGATCTGTATGCATGACTGAGCACCATGTGCAAGCCCACGGAGTCCAGACAAGGGCATCAGATCCCCTGGAACCGGAGTTAGAGATGGTTTTGAGAAATCTCATGGTTTGTTGAGGTTTGGTTTACTGCTATATATTCAAATGCTAAATTCTATACCCAAAAGTTATGGCCTATGAGAAGTTTCTCGTGTTTACAAGCTTTTGTTATACAAACCTTGGTTCCTTGACTTAAAACTTTTGGTTATACAAAACTGGCTACAGTCAACACTGGAGGGATTAGAGGCAGGTGGGTTTGGAGGGACCTGGTTGGAGGAGAAGAGACAAGGGGGAGAGGGGAGGAATGAGAGTGGAAGAGGAAGCCAACATGAGGGGAGAGGAACCATAAGCACAGAGCCAGGAGAAAAAGCAAGGATCTGGAGTTATACCACTGGGGAGGTAGCCAGGCCTGCAGTTAGAAGAGGAGATTAGGGATGACCCCCAGTAATTGGCAAAGCCAAATAAAATAACCATAGTCTAAGCCTCCTTTATTTGTAAAGGAGCTACTCGGGGATTAGCTTAAATTGTTTGTACTACAGTGGAAACTGAACCCAGGTCCTCTGCAAGAGCAATCAGTTCTCTTAATCACCAAGTTAGCTCTCTAGCCTGCAATTATATTTACTGATTTATTTTCTTATTTCATTTAGTTTGTTTTGTTTGAAACAGGGACTCAGCATATGGGCCAGACTAGCCTGGAACTCACTATGTATCTGACAGACCTGGAACTCACAGCCGTCTTCTCACAGCAGCCTTCTGAGTGAAGGAATGACAGGTATGGGTCACCAAACCCGACTTCAACTGAACGTTAAAAGACGACCATGACTTTTAATTCACAGTTAAGAAAGCCAAAAGTGTACAGGACACATCCCGTATTCATGACACACAGCTCTTACCCACTCTGACGAGGTTTTTGTAGGTCTCCAACATCGTGTCCCTGTATAAGATCTTCTGAGTAGCATCCAGGCAGGCCCACTCCTCCTTAGAGAATTTAATAGCCACATCCCTAAATGTCACTGGCCCCTGAAAGAGCAAACACAAGGAGAGTGAAATTAGGGAGGCTTTCAAGATGGAAAAACAGAAGGAAAAGGACTCAAGCGTGGGAAGGGAGCCATAAGGAAATGCTGAAGGCACCTTACTGCACGACTCCCCATAAACGACGGCTGTGCCCACCTACATATCCAGTAACTGTGCCTCTCCACTCCATCCACATCCTTCAGGTTATCCCCCACAAAGGAGACATGTCACTGGGGTCAGGGTAAAATACACAAGGAATGCTGTGAGTCCTTGAGTTTATTATGATATCAGATGACTATATACCAGTCCATATTATTGACATATTAAGTTTAATTTTTGGTAAAAATAAAACAAACAAAGAACCTTTTAAGTGGTCAACAAGTCTCTTCAGGTCTTTCCTAACTCCCTGGGTCATCAACCTGACAACACCACAGATGTCAATCAGGTTTCCCAGTGCAGTCAATGAGACCGTCACCTCAAAGCTCTGAAGCCCCCAAAGCCCCTGTTCCCTGTGAGACTGACACCTCTGCTGCAGTGACAGTCCTCCCTCACCACAGACCAAGCAGAGAGCACATATACAGGAATGCATTCAAAGACAACATCAGTACCAGCTGGGAAGAGGCTCAGACAGGAAGTGCTCAGACCTGCCAACCCTCACTGTGAAGGGGCAGACTGGGATGAGGGGATTCTGGATCTGTGGGAAGCTTCAAGAGGAAAAGACAAGAAGGAGTCACCTAACCTGAAAGTCCCCCTATGTCAGGGAGAGACATACAACTTACAGAGACCATGTGCTGTGAATTGGAGCCGGCCATTCTTCTTTAGGCTTCCTCCCTGGGGACAAAAAGAAAGCCTTTCATTGATTGTGACTTGATGTTCCCAGAATGACTTTGTCACTGTCAGTTCAACAACTACATTTCTTTCTCCAGCATCCACACTCACTCTCTCCCCTCCCACCGCTCACAGCCTCCCACACACAGATCAGAAGCACACAGGAGTCTACACAAAGACCATTCTCTCCTAACCCCAGACAACCCATGGCAAAGGGGTCAGTGTGGGAGTGCAGAGCTAAACATGTCTGCCTTGAGCTTCCTCCAGAAGATGTCAGCACAAGGGACCCAGCTTCCACCTGACATCCAGCTAGCCCTGCACCTGGGCTGCTCCTCCTACTGTGAGCAGACCTTCCTACTGGAACCCCACATATCAAGGCTCACAGGGGCTTACAGCATCCAAATGGCACCTCCTTTGTAAACTCAGGGCTGAAGCACAGCAAGGCTGGAGGGGCTGCAGCTGCAATGTTCAGGCGGGGTCCAGCCTTCTGTCCCCACTCTCAGTAAATGGGACTGTGCACCATGGAACGCTTTCCTGAGAGCCTTCGCTCAGCTATGATAACACTTATGTTGTATCGATTAAGCCATGATCCTTATGAAGATAAATAGCTATAACACATCCTGTCACAGGAAGTGAGTATGTGTTTCCACCTTTCCATATTATGGGATATTTTCAACAAAATAATACTAGATTTGTCCTGGGTGTCCTAGTCTTTTGATCCTGAGCTGGGTTTCTCAGCCTCAGCACGGCTGACACAGTGGTTATGTCTTGGGCTGGGTGAGGACTATCTTGTGCTCTGTACAAGCTCTGAGCAGCACACACAACCCCAGACCTCCCTCAGACGCTGCCCCAGGGAGCAGCCATCAGTGGGATCCAGTGCTCTAGCCAACAGGTCTAAGTCTTGGTTCAGTACACTGTGGGATTGTTCATCTGTTTCTGAGACAGTCTCCTGTACTCCAGGCTGGCCTTGAACACCTAATGCTGCTTCCTCCTTCTCCCTCTCAAGACACATCTGACCACCTTATGAAATTGTACATTTTTATATCCCCAGAAAATTTACAAATAAATTTTCCTTCTATCTTTATCCTTCTTTCCTGCCTGCCTCTTCATACACCAGGCTAGCCAGTCTGCCAGGGATTCTCTTGACTCCACCCCCGTCTTGTCATAGCAGGGCCGGGACTGCAGACATGCACTGCTGTGTCTGGCACTGCACAGTTCCATGCTGGCATGCACTGCATCTATCCGTTTTCTGAGTTATATGAGTGGACTTATCAACAAAAATACACTGCAGGATAAATTTAGCCTTCTCAGGGGATCAGCCTCTCCAGGAATGAATGCTGCCAGCTTCTTAAAAGCTCTTTTAAGTGTTATACAAAGGCACTTTTAGCAATTAATTTCTGAGTGTCAGAACTATTTATCTGATGTGTGGGTAGTCTTGAAAGACTTATCACTAAGCAATTTTCAGGAATAAGGAGACTTCCTGGTTTGCCAGGTATGCCTGGAAACTAAGCTATGAAAAGATTCTAAGAATCCATTAAAAGAATAAGCCCATAAAATCTCAGGAAAAAGTCACTGAGAAAAAGCTACTTCAAAGCCTAGGTGCCATCACTGGAATTCATGCCTAACACAATGGCTGGGAATGGAACTCAGGACCTCTGGAAGAGCAGTAAGTGCTCTTTTTTTTTTTTTTTTTTTTTTTGGTTTTTCGAGACAGGGTTTCTCTGTGTAGCCCTGGCTGTCCTGGAACTCACTCTGTAGACCAGGATGGCCTCGAACTCAGAAATCCACCTGCCTCTGTCTCCCAAGTGCTGGGATTAAAGGCATGCGCCACCACCGCCCAGCGCAGTAAGTGCTCTTAACCGCTGAGCCATCTCTCCAGCCCTAAACTACATTTCTTTACGCTAAGGATTATTTCTGTGTTGAAGACTATGCATCTTAACAATAAATACAGCTCTTTTGGTTTCACAACCTTACACAAATAAGCCAAAGGACACCTACAGCCAGTAAAGTTACAATATCAACGAGTACAGCAATGGCTGGAGTAAGAGATCTGGGAAAATGCTGTGTAGGATTACATGAGACATCCATTTGAAAAGGGTCTTTAATTTCTTACTGTCAATCATAAATCATTTGAGAAGAAGCCCCATGGCCATCTCCCCTGGCCACATTTTGATAGCTTGTGACCTTGTGACACTTGTAACTGTCAATGCTTCATAAAGTTTGTGAAAGTATAGGAAGTCTTGCTGGATACGGTAGGTCAATAATTTCAGCACTGGGGAGGCAGAATCAAGAGGCTCGTTCAAAGTCCTGGGCCAACCTGGTCTACGTGACCTCCAGAGCAGTGTCTATCATCAGCAGTGCTGGTAAAAAGTCAATGTTAACACTCATGAAAATGACATTAGACCTTCAGTCACTCCACATGCAAAAGCCAACTCAAGACAGATTAAAATTTATGAACTGATACTACTAGAGAAATAATACACAGGAAAGCCTCCAGGACACGGGACATACTGGGTATTACTCTAAAAACACAAGCAACAGAAGCAAAATGGAGACATAGGATTTGCATCAAACTAAAAACCTTTACGCAGCAAAGGAAAGAGCAGTGGGGTAGGGGGATAATCTAGAGAACAGGAGAGAGTAATTGCCAACGACACATCTGACCAGGAGGGAGCATCTAAGCTCCTGCATAGCAACTTTATAAGGAATACAGACAAGTCAGCGACAAGGAAACTTCCTAATGAAGAAACAGGCAAACCAGAAATAAGTATTTCCCCAGATAGGACATCAATATGGCCTATATAGTTATATGAAAAATTATCATCAGGATGACAGTCACTAAAATCACAAGGAGAGGCCTCCTCATGCCCGTTAGGAGTGTCAGTTACTAGAGGCCCGGAGACTTGGCAAAGAGGTTTAGAACACTTGTTGCTCTTGCAGAGGCCAGGGGTTCCATTCCCAGCCCCCATATGGTGGCTCACAACCAGTCCTAACTCCAATTTCAAGGGATCTGACACACTCTTCGGGCCACCTATGAGATCAGGCATGCGCAAGGAGCACATGGTTCATGTAGGCACAAACATCAGGAATAAAGGGGAGAGAGAGGAAAGGGGTGGGGGGAGAGAATATCTTTTTAAAAACACTGACCATTATAAAGAAAACATAATGTAGAGAATGTGGAGGGGAAAAAAAAAACATTACGGAGGAAATGTAAATTATTAGTCACTGTAGAAAACAGCATGGCAAATTCTCAATTATAAATACAACTCGAACCTGATCCATCCATCCCACTACTGAGTGGATACACACAAAGGAAATAAACTCAGCAGCTGCAAGAGACATTCACACCCTCCCACCTTTCATTCCAGCATCACTTCCATAGCTGTGATGTGGACCCCGCCCACAGACGAACGGACAAAGCACATGGAGAGTGAGGCTCACACACAGTGAACCACGTACTACAATATGGATGCACACGGAGAATAACAAGTGCAATAAGCTAAAGACAGAAAGGCAAACGCTGGGGCAGGGGGATGGCTCAGAGCCTGAGAGCTGCTACGGCCTTTCCAGAGGACAGAGTTCAGTCTCCAGACAGCTCACAGTGCCTGTAACTCCAGCTCCAGTGGATTCTATCCGTATCTATGGTTTCTGAGACCACCTGTGGTCATGTACACATAACCCAACGTCCATAATTTTGAAGCCAAATACTTCATCTTTAAACAAAAAGACAGATATCCATGGTCTGGCTCATCTAGACTCTGAAGCTGTTTTCTCCTGGGAACGGTGAGATGCTGGTTCCTGGGGTGTGAGTGACAGAGGCTGGCTGTGCAGCATCAGGGAGGAGAATGGGAGACGTGGACCCACAAGGGAGAGAGCTGTATGATGATGGTCAAGGGCTACAGAACTTCAGCCACACAACAGTTCAGAGATGGGCAATACGGTGACTGTGATGAACAGTTTTGACAAGGCCGAGAGTGTACTCACTACAGAAATGTGAGTTAGATTAAGTCATTCCAAAGGACATAAAGAATCTATGTGCTTTACACAATACAAAAAAAAAAAGATCCATCGCAAAATTTAGAAAAATATTCTGTTCTACATTAGTATACTCATTTTCCTTTTGTTTTAGAAACCGGTTCTCACCATGCAGCCCAGCTAGCCTGAAACTTGTTCTGTGGTTCAAGCTGCTACAGAATTCACATCGATCCTCCTGCTTCTGCCTCCCAAGTGCTGAGATTAAAATGCACACCACAAAGCCTAGTTTTTCTTTTTGAGTCACTTTCTTAAATATCCAACCAGCAATCGCATTGTTCCTCACAATCCCTCACCCTGCAGAACACTGAGGAGAATGAAGCCAAAATGGCCTCACAGAGCAACAACTAAAGCTCACCGGGCCCTTAGTATCTGGCGGCACTGCACTAACAGGCTTCACCACAGGCATCCTAAGGTTCACGACAGGACTAGAACGTGACAGAACCAAGACTCTAACCCAGACGGAGGGGAGCGGAGAGGAAGGGAGGGGAGAAAGAACAAGCTACTGCTTTCCCACTCTCAAAATCCTCACGAGTGAATAGAAATCGTCCACCATCTCCACTTGTCTGCTGCTTTGAAAGACAGGCCTGTAAAGATCAAAGGCTGTCTGACGTATGATGTCATTGAAATAGGAATCAATTTAGCCAACCAGAGTTTGAAAGCCCTAACGCTAACCTCTGGAGGTTCCTATCTAGAACATGTTCGGGAAAAGAAGTGCCTGTAGGGAGAAGATGTCAAGGGTCACTGAAACCATAACGTGATGAATACTAGCTGGAAAGGGGAGGGACAACGTAACGGACACAATGGTGGAGATATCAATTTGCATGTTCCTGCTTCATTTACTAACAATCCTATAATCTAAAAATAAAAACCTCACTTCTCAAACAGAGAGAAAGCGCAAATTCGCCTTTGAGTCTTAGCTGGGTAGCAACAATGATCTCACGCTCCTCCAGCCACCCGTTTGAATAATGGCCGACTCAGGGAGCATCAGGAAGCATCGGAACCTGGATGGTACCCGAGAGCATCCTCAGGGAGCACTTTCCTTCCACACTCACACGGCTAGAGCTCTGGGAAAGTCAGGGAACTCAACTAGTAGCCTAGGCGACCCTCAGAGACATTTTCGGCCTCAAATGCTCGTCCCAAGCTCCAGTCTGAACCTCAGGGAAAGCTTCCCTTCAGACTGCACACATGACCTCTCCTTACTGAAGCCTGGTCCTCTGCTCCAGTCCCTGTGTCCCCGAGAGAAAGCAGGAGCAGAAAGCGACACGCACCGCGACTCAGACAAAGCAAATAGCTCAGGGTGTGCACACGCGCACACACGCACACACACACACACAGAGCACCGTCCCTAAATACTCACACGCGCATCAACATTCAACCACCCCGCCGTCCACACCCACACCCAGCCCGCTGATTCCCGGCCTTACTCTGCAGAGACCGAAGACACAAAGCAATTGCCTACTCCCACCAGAAAGACCTGACCGTCCGCGAGAGCTCGCCAGGGCACCGGAAGTTGCTTTACTTCCGCCGCGGTGGCTCCTGGGAAATGTAGTGCCCGTGTGCACAACTCCTTGAAGCCTAACACTCTGTTGTTCGGGAAGATCCCGGCCTGTAACTTGGGCCAGCACGAAGGAGAGCAGCGCCAATGGTTTGAGGGAGTTGCCCTCAGCCCCAGGGAGCCTAAAGGAGAGGATTCCCTCCTATGATCAAAAGGTACTTCCGGTTCTGCACGTAACTGGTTTTCTCTTCTTTGGACCGTACAGACGAGCAGAATAGGAAGTATGATCAGATCCGCCTATAACTGACTTCATTACACTTTGCCTGAGTCCCCCTGAGTGGGATTCCACCCCGTGCACTGGTAGGGTCTATGGTAAATTTCAAAACACTGACCTAAAGAATTGGTTGGTTTTAAACATCAGCGATTTCGGACAGCCAGATGTTCAGAGAGTCAGTGTCCCTGTTATGTAAATAGGAAAACGTGAGTGAGGACCAGTCGATAAATACCAACAGAACTGCCACCATTTTGAAAGGTGAATGACTAGCGCGTGAAAGTGTCTAAACAAACGCAAACGTACGCCTTGTCTATGTAGGAAAAACGTACTTACTGTGACATGAGCTTTCAAAGCCACTTTTATTCTTTATATTTACACATTTTTTTTCCAGAACGTGAGAGAAAACTAATGTTATAGATGATCCTACTAGGACCACTAATCGTATGAAATGCTTTGTAAATTATGTAAACGCCTAAATTATAGACAGATTAGATTTGAAATAAGTCAGTCCCGACTATGTGTTAACTACAGAAAATATGTTGATAAATACTCTGATTAATAGTTGATAACTACTGATTAAACGTGATCGTCCTCAGCCAGGCAGTGGTGGCACATGCCTTTAATCCCAGATCTCTATGAGTTCAAGGCCAGCTTGGTCTAGAGAGAGAGTTCCAGGACAGCAGTCTCTACACAGAGAAACCCTGGCTCGAAAAAGAAAACAAACAAACAAACAAAACAAAAGAAAGTGACCATCCTCAAAATAGTCAAAAGAAGACTTAGGTCAATTTTAAAATTAAGGCAGACTCGGGGACAAAGAACATTACCAGGGATAATAAAGGTGGCAATTCTACAAAAAATAAAATAAAATTGGCTGAGCATGGTAGCACATGCTTTTTTTTTTTTTTTTCTGAGACAGGGGCTTTTACAGTTGTTTTGTTTTGTTTTGTTTGTTTTGTTTTGTTTTCAAGACAAGAGTCACTCTATGTAACAGCCCTGGCTATCCAGGAACTCACTTTGTATACCAGGTTGGTCTTGAACTCACAGGCATCTACCCTGCCTCTGCCTCACAAGTGCACAGATGAAAGGTGTGCACCACCAGCCGTGGCTAGCACATGCCTTCCCCCCACCCGCCCCAATTCATTTATTTTCATTTTACGTGCGTTGATGTTTTGCCTGCGTGTATGTCTGTGTGAGAGTGTTGGATCCTTTGGAACTGGAGCTACAGACAGTTGTGAGCTGCCATGTGGGTGCTGAGAACAGATCCTGGATGTTCTAGATAAGCAGCCAGGACTCAGCTGCTGAGCCGTCACTCCAGCCCCTAGCACACGCCTTTTAATCCCAGGAATGGGGAGGCAGAACCAGATAGGTGGATGTCTGTGACATTGAGGCCAGCTAGGTTGAGGACAGCCAGGACTCTATAGTGAAATTGGAAACTCCATGGAATCTGTGACAGTAGTCCTAGCAAAGACTCCTAGGAATGGAGAACACAAGACCTTAACCAACCCTGGTCTGTAACCAGACAAGGCCAGAAGTGGAGGACTTGGGATACCAACCCAGCCACAAACCCTTCAACTGGTTGAGGCCTGCTTTTAACATAACTGTAGCCATTTTGTATTCAGTCTCCATTTTGCTCATAAGGTGAAATTAAGTTCAGGTTCTCAGACTCCACATCCCAAAATATAGCTAACACTGAAAAAAATATCCTAAAAGGTCACAACACTATGGTTGCATTGCTTATGCCCTGAAACTGCCCTGCTTACCACCTGCCTACCACCCTTCTTACCTCACTTAGCTTAAATCAGCTGAAAAGTCAGCTGATAATTCTTTGTCTAGTTCACCAAAATGTACCACTGCATCCCGCCCCCCTTGCCTTCTGAACTTCTGGAAATTTTTTTTCCTATAAAATGCCTGCCCTAAGAACAGACTGGTGACACAGTTAGGATTTCAAGTCCTTTTTCCGTGGTCCAGATCAGTCAGTCTTGGGGGTGGTGCATTCAATAAACTATCCTTGCTTAACTGAAATGATGTTCATACGGTTTGTGTGGGAAATCCCGATCCCCAAGAGACCTACGATTTGTTCTGCCTGTAGAGTGTTCTGGGACTAGTGAAGTGGAAACTTCTGGTTTCTTTGGAAAGTCAGTTGTGTAGGATGGTGTTTCAATGGGGCAAACAAACACATGAAGGGTTGTTTTCCTGAAGCAGATATAGGTGAAAGGATTTTTTTTTTTTGAAGGAACATTTTGCTGAAGCAGACACAGGTGAAAAGGATGTTCTGCTAAAGCAAGCACGTGAAAGGACACGTGATGAAGGATTCTTCCCTAGCAACATGCATGTAATGGTTCACCTTACATTGCGTAGCTGAACTCCATCTGTAATGACTCCGTAGAGAGATACGCACCAAAAAACTCCTTGTGGTGTTCTGGCAGCTTATTGCCACTTTGAAGGGCTCGGGCCGATTGGCCGAGTGATGTCAGCTGATACAGACTCACTTGGAGTTTGGCTAAGACAGACTCATGTGCTGAGGCAACAAACATGTGAAGCAAGATTCGTGGAGGACACATGATATTTGAAGAGATTATAAACAGGACTCAGGGGACAGCCACAGGGTCTTGCCTAGCTGGCTCTGCAATGCATCGTTGGTCTCTAGTCTTGGCTGGTCTTCATTTCGTTGAGAGAGGCATAACACAGAACTTCTCCTGGCATCCCTGTTGGTCCCGGTTGCTCCCCAGTGACTCATGCCGATTTGGCAGTGACCTGGCTGTCTCTGATAGATCATACCACCACTGCTGATTCATATCTGCTATCCCGACAGTACTGAACGAGACTGCTGGTGTATTCGTGAAGTGTTGGTGAGCGGATCGAGCGGCCGCTGCTAATTTCTGTGAACTAAACTGCTGATTATTTCCTGACAACGCAGATGGGATTTGCTACAAAGAACAATTTCTAAACAGGCCCACTTCCCCTGCATCCTAATATCCTTTCTTTTCCACTCCCTCTGGTGGGTGGTGGGATAGAAGGGAGGTTAAAGGGTTTAAGAACCATATCAAAAATAGGTCTATGAGACAATTTTAGGCAACTGACTAGAGCCCAGCAGAAGCATCACCAATGAGACCAGAGAGCTACTGATGGGAACAGATGCAGAGTCCCACAGCCAAACGCTAAGCGGGACTCAGAGAGTTCTGCAGAGGAAGGAGAGGAAGAATCAGAGGAATCAGAGGGGTTAGGGACACACCGAGCAAATACAGCTCACAGAGTCAACTGACTGGGACTCATGGGAACTTGAGAGATCAGGGAACCTGATCTTCTTCGCCAGGGGTCTGACCTAGGTCATTTGCATATATCTTATGGCTGAGTAGTTTTGTGTTCTTGTGTGTGGTGGTTAGACTAGGTATGGCCCCCACAGACTCATGTGTGAATGCTTGCCCCATAGGGAATGATACTATTAGGAAGTGTGGCCTTGTTGGAGGAAGTGTGTCACAGTGACAGCCAGCTTTGGGGTCTTCTATGTTCAAGCTATAACCCAGTGTGACACACAGCCCCCTTGCTGCCCGTGGATCAAGATGCAGAACTCTCCTTCTCCAGCGCCATGCCTGCCTGGATGCCGCCATGCTTCCTGCCATGATGATAATGGACTAAACCTCTGAAACTATAAGCCAGCCCCAGTGAAATGTTTTCCTTTATAGGAGCTGGCCTTGGTCACGGTGTCTCTTCACAGTAATAAAACATTGTGGAATAAGACATTGTGGAAATCCTAACAGTGAGGGTGGGGACTGACCCTGACTATTTTGCCTAATTTTGTGATCCCTCTCCCCCTACTAGGTTCCCTTCCCCAGTCTTGCTGTGATGGTATGCTTCTTGTCTTATTGTTCCTTGTTACGCTGTGTTTGGTTGAAGAGATGGGGTTAAGGGACAGAAAGGGACGGTATCGAGGGGATTTAAGTGGGTGGAGGGAGGGAGACGGGGGGGGAGGGGTAGAATGGAGAAACTGTGGTCGGGATGTGATACATGAGAGAAAACAACTAAAATAAACCCACAGTATGCTCCTAATAGCATATTTCAAACATGAGGTAGGGGGAAACGTGCTAGCGATGAAGAATGACAGCCAAATCCACCATCACATACAAATGTTTTCAGACTCAGTAACAGAACAGACCCAGAACAGCAACAGTGCCCAGTCAAACTGGACAACATATCAACAATGAAAACTGTCAGAATCAAAACAGAGACAGTCAACCTTTAATGGAGTCAGGCTACTTTAAAGGGAGGGTGTTCCCGCACACACACCTATAACAGAAATGGTTCCTAGGCTCTTTTGAAGGCCATACTTGTATAGACGGTCCACTGCAACCCTACACGCCAAAACTACATCTGCTGGTTAAGTTTCTCTTCAACTACAGGCTGATGTCATTTTGTTATTGACTCTTGGAGGAGGCGATGTTTCAAAACAAAGTCTCCGACCTCCATTTTACGTTTACAAACCCTTGCCTTCCTTGATCCCCCTAAACCAGCTGAACCTCTATGGTACATCATCCGTACTACAGTCTTCTGCTTGTTCCTGAGTTGTCTTTAAGGCATCTACTCCCTCAGTTTTTATTAATGAAATAAAACACACAACCCACAGTCCACTTGGTCTCATTTTTATGCTTCAGTCTTCCCAGTGACAAGAGAATCCTCACATGCACAGGCGATGCTCATGGACATAAGCTGGGC